ACCAGGTAAAACAGCCCAAAACCGGGTAAAACAGCCCAAAACCGGGTAAAACACCCCAAAACCGGGTAAAACAGCCCAAAACCGGCCCAAAGACGCCAGAAACACAGAAAACCACCCAAAGAAAAACCCAAAATGGGGCCTTTAATGGGGTTCGGCCCCTTTAAACGGAGGGGGCGCGGTCACGGAAGGGGCGGGACCAAGGGGCGACGCCCTTTTCTGATGGGCGGGGTCAGGGGGTGAGGGGCGTGGTCGGCTGTGAAGGGGCGGGGCTGGTGGAGGGGGCGGAGCCAGCCTCGGCCCCGCCCTCCGGGTGCAGCAGCCTCGTTCCCAGCCGCTCCAGGTCGTCCAGGCTGAGCCCGCGCAGGGACTGAGCATAGTCCTGGGGGGGGGGGGCTGATTTAACCCCCCCATTGAGCCCCCCAAACAACAGCACCCCCAAAACCACCCCCATGGATCCCCCACCCCCCCTCAGTGGACCCCCTAAACCCCCCCACAGACCTTCCCATGAACCCCCCTCCCAAACCCCCCAAATGGACCCCCCTAAACCCTAAAATCCCCCCACAACCCCAACCATGGGCCCCGCAACCCCCCCTCAAAACCCCCACCATGGAGCCCCCTATGGAGCCCCCCACATGGACACCCACAAAGCCCCCCTCAAACCCCCCCATGGACCCCCCGACCCCCCACGTACCCCCCATTCCCCCCCCATAGATCCCCCCAACCCCCCCCACACCCCCCATTGACCCCCCCATAGATCCCCCCAACCCCCCCCGCACCCCCCATTGCCCCCCCATAGATCCCCCCAACCCCCCCCGCACCCCCCATTACCCCCCATAGATCCCCATTAACCCCATAGATCCCCATTAACCCCCCCCATAGATCCCCCAACCCCCCCATTGCCCCCCCCATAGATCCCCCCATAGATCCCCCATTACCCCCCATAGACCCCCCATAGATCCCCCCAACCCCCCCCGCACCCCCATTGAACCCCATAGATCCCCCACCCCCCCCCCCCACCCCCCATTGCCCCCCCATAGATCCCCCCAACCCCCCCATTGCCCCCCATTGACACCCCCATAGATCCCCCAACCCCCCCCGCCCCCCCATTGACCCCCCATAGATCCCCCCAACCCCCGCACCCCCCATTGACCCCCCCATAGATCCCCCCAACCCCCGCACCCCCCATTGACCTCCCCATAGATCCCCCACCCCCCCCCATACCCCCCATTGACCCCCCAACCCCCCCCCCGCACCCCCCATTGACCCCCCCATTAACCCCCCCATTAACACCCCCCATTGCCCCCCCCATAGATCCCCCCAACCCCCCCCGCACCCCCCATTGACCCCCCCATAGATCCCCCCACCCCCCCCCGCACCCCCCATTGACCCCCCCATAGATCCCCCCCCGCACCCCCCATTGACCTCCCCATAGATCCCCCCAACCCCCGCACCCCCCATTGCCCCCCCATAGATCACCCCCCATTGCCCCCCCATAGATCCCCCCAACCCCCCCCATTGCCCCCCCCATAGATCCCCCCACCCCCCCCCGCACCCCCCATTGCCCCCCCACCTTCTGCAGCTGCTGCAGGACCCTCGCCCCCTCCTGCACCCCAAAGTGCCGGGCCAGGACCTGCGCCAGGGCCCCCCCGGGGGCGAGGCAAGGGGGGGGCACCCCCAGCTCCTCCGGGGGGGGGCTGGGCGGGCTCTCAGGCCCCGCCCCCCCGCCGCCCTTGGCCCCGCCCCCCGGCGGCTTCAGCACCAGGTTGATGCGCGCCGAGGGCCCGATGCTGTACTCGGAGAGACGGCGTCCGTCTGGGGGGGGAGCACCCAAAAACACCCAAAATCGCCATTTCTGAGCCCAAATCCGGATCACCCCCCCCGCAACACCTCCTATCCCACCCCAGAACCCCTGAAATCCACCCAAAACCCGTTTAACCCCCCCCAAAATCCCTTTAACACCCCAAAACCGCCTTTAACCCCCCCGAACCCCCTTTAATCCACCCAAAACCCGTTTAACCCCCCAAAAATCCCTTTAACACCCCAAAACCGCCTTTAACCCCCCCGAACCCCCTGAAATCCACCCAAAACCCGTTTAACCCCCCCCCAAAATCCCTTTAACACCCCAAAACCGCCTTTAACCCCCCCGAACCCCCTTTAACCCACCCAAAACCCCTTTAATCCACCCAAAACCCTTTTAATCCCCCCAGAAGCCCCGTTTTACGCCCCCCAAAACCCCTTCGTTCCACCCAAAATCTCCCTTTACCCCCTTTCAGTCCCAAATCACCTTCAGCGCCCCCCCAAACCGCTCCCTTCACCCCTTCAACCCCCCCCCAAAACCCCTTTAACCCCCATCAGGACCCCCCCAAACCCTTTTCAGGCCCCCCCATTGCCCCCCATTGCCCCCATTGCCCACATCACCCCGATTATCCCCATTGCCCCTATTCCCCCCCATTGCCCCCTTTACCCCCCATTGCCCCCCATTGCCCCGATTATCCCCATTGCCCCGATTCCCCCCCATTGCCCCCCATTGCCCCCATTGCCCACATCACCCCTATTCCCCCCATTGCCCCTATTCCCCCCCATTGCCCCCTTTACCCCCATTGCCCCCTCACCCGCCAGGGCCTTGCCCCTGTACAGGAGCCGCTGCTGCTCCACTGGCACCTGGAGCCGCTCGGCCACCAAGAGCCGGAGCGCGGCCACGTCCTCGTGCGGGGACACCTGGAGGGAGCCCCAAAACTCCCCAAATCAGTCCCAAAACAGCCAAAAACACCCCAAATCAGTCCCCAAACACCTGAAATCAGCCCCAAAACACCCGAAATCAGCCCCAAAACACCCGAAATCAGCCCCAAAACAGCCAAAACCACCCCAAATCAGTCCCAAAACACCCGAAATCAGCCCCAAAACACCCGAAATCAGCCCCAAAACACCCGAAATCAGCCCCAAAACACCCGAAATCAGCCCCAAAACAGCCAAAAACACCCGAAATCAGCCCCAAAACACCTGAAATCAGCCCCAAAACAGCCCCAAAACACCTGAAATCAGCCCCAAAACACCCAAAAACACCCGAAATCAGCCCCAAAACACCCAAAACCACCCGTAGTCAGACCAAAAGAAAACCAAAATCAGCCCAAATACACCCAAAACCACCCCAAATCAGTCCCAAAACACCCGAAATCAGCCCCAAAACACGCGAAATCAGCCCCAAAACACCTGAAATCAGCCCCAAAACACCTGAAATCAGCCCCAAAACAGCCAAAACCACCCGAAATCACTCCGAAAACACCTGAAATCAGCCCCAAAACACCCAAAACCACCAGAAATCAGTCGAAAAACACCCAAAAACACCCGGAATCAGTCCAAAACCACCCGTAGTCAGTCCAAAAAAAAAACGGAATCAGCCCAAATACACCCAAAAACACACAAATTGTCCAAAAACCCCGAAATCAGCCCTAAAACACCCAAAACCACCTGTAGTCAGTCCAAAAAAAAAACGAAAACAGCCCAAATACACCCAAAACCACACGAATTCAGTCCAAAAACTCCTGAAATCAGCCCCAAAACCCCCAACCCCCCAAAAACACCTGAAATCAGCCCAAAAACACCCAAAACCACCTGTAGTCAGTCCCCAAAAAAAACGAAATCAGCCCAAATACACCCAAAACCACACGGATTCAGTCCAAAAACACCCGAAATCAGCCCCAAAACCCCCAAAACCAAACCCACCCGTAGTCAGTCAAAAAAAAACCCGAAATCAGCCCCAAAACTCCCCAGACACCCGGAATCTGTCCAAAATCACCCCAAAACACCCGAAATCAGCCCCAAAACACCCGAAATCAGCCCAAAATTAGCCAAAACCACCCAAAATCAGTCCAAAAAAAATCCGAAATCAGCCCCAAAACTCCCCAGACACCCGGAATCTGTCCAAAATCACCCAAAACCACCCGTAGTCAGTCCAAAAAAACCCGGAATCAGCCCAAAAACACCCAAAAACCCCGGAATCAGTCCAAAAACACCCGAAATCAGCCCCAAAACAGCCCAAAAACACCAAAAAACACCTGAAATCAGCCCAAAAACACATAAAAAACCCCCGGAATCAGCCCAAAAACACCCAAAAACCCCCGGAATCAGCCCAAAAACACCCAAAAAAAACCGGAATCAGCCCAAAAACACCCAAAAACCCCCCCCCGTCCCAAAACACCAAAAACCGGAATCAGCCCCAAAAACACCCAAAAACCCCCGGAATCAGCCCAAAAACACCCAAAACCCCCCGGAATCAGCCCAAAAACACCCAAAAACCCCCGGAATCAGCCCAAAAACACCCAAAAACCCCCGGAATCAGCCCAAAAACACCCAAAAACCCCCGGAATCAGCCCAAAAACACCCAAAAACCCCCGGAATCAGCCCAAAAACACCCAAAACCCCCCGGAATCAGCCCCAAAACACCCAAAAACCCCCGGAATCAGCCCAAAAACACCCAAAAACCCCCGGAATCAGCCCAACCCCCCCAATAGGGGTCCTCCAACCCCCGCGGTTGGGCCTAGAGCGGCTCCTCTCTATGACCCCCCCCTCCATAGGGGCCCTTCCTCCCCCCCACCTCGATGCTGCACTCGCGGCCCTGCAGCGCCTTCACCGTCACCAACATGGCGGCACCGGCGGCACCGGCGGCACCGAGAGCCCAGAGCGGCACCGGCGGCACCGGCGGGACCCGAGCCCCGGGAGGACCGAGAGGCCAGAGCGGCACCGGCCGCCGCCGCCAACCAACGAGACGAGGGGGCAGAGCGGCACCGGCCGCCGCCGCCAACCAACGAGACGAGGGGGCAGAGCGGCGCGCCGGAAGTGGGCGCGGCCTGGAGGAGCCAAGATGGCGGCGGACACGGAGGGGCTGGAGCTGTATCCGCGTTAATGGGGGGGGGATGAGGTCCCAAAGGGGGGGCTGTGAGGGGGGAATTGGGGGTCATGGGGGGGTTAGAGGGGGTGGGGGTGATCTTGGGGGGCAGTTGTGGGTCTTAGGGGGTTTAACGGGGGGTGGTTTTGGGGGGGCAGTTGTGGGTCTTAGGGGGTTTAACAGGGGGTGGTTTTGGGGGGGGCAGTTGTGGGTCTTAGGGGGTTTAACGGGGGGTGGTTTTGGGGGGGCAGTTGTGGGTTTTAGGGGGTTTAACGGGGGGTGGTTTTGGGGGGGCAGTTGTGGGTCTTAGGGGGTTTAACGGGGGGTGGTTTTGGGGGGGCAGTTGTGGGTCTTAGGGGGTTTAACGGGGGGTGGTTTTGGGGGGGCAGTTGTGGGTCTTAGGGGGTTTAACGGGGGGGTGGTTTTGGGGGGGCAGTTGTGGGTCTTAGGGGGTTTAACGGGGGGTGGTTTTGGGGGGGCAGTTGTGGGTCTTAGGGGGTTTAACGGGGGGTGGTTTTGGGGGGGCAGTTGTGGGTCTTAGGGGGTTTAAGAGGGGTGGTTTTGGGGGGGCAGTTGTGGGTCTTAGGGGGTTTAACAGGGGGGTGGTTTTGGGGGGGCAGCGGGGGGTGGTTTTGGGGGGGCAGTTGTGGGTCTTAGGGGGTTTAACGGGGGGTGGTTTTGGGGGGGCAGTTGTGGGTCTTAGGGGGTTTAACGGGGGGTGGTTTTGGGGGGGCAGTTGTGGGTCTTAGGGGGTTTAACGGGGGGTGGTTTTGGGGGGGCAGTTGTGGGTCTTAGGGGGTTTAACGGGGGGTGGTTTTGGGGGGGCAGTTGTGGGTCTTAGGGGGTTTAACGGGGGGTGGTTTTGGGGGGGCAGTTGTGGGTCCTAGGAGGAGATAAATGGGGTGATGGGGGTAGTTTGGGGGGGGGAGGGAAATTGTGGGTCCTTGGGGGGGTTAAAGGGGCCGAGGGTGGGGTTTGGAGGGGGCTTTGGGGTCCTATGGGGCATTAAAGGGGGGGTGATTCTTGGTGGGGGGCAGTTGTGGTTCTTGGGGGGGTGGTTTGGGGGGGGCAGTTGTGGGTCTGAGGGGAGCAACTGTGGGTCCTAGGATGGGGTTAAATGGGGTGGGTTGGTTTTGGGGGGCAGTTGTGGGTCTGGGGGGGGGAACTGTGGGTCCTGGAGGGGTTAAATGGGGTGGGTTGGTTTTGGGGGGCAGTTGTGGGTCTGGGGGGAGCAGTTGTGGGTCTGGGGGGAGCAGTTGTGGGTCTGGGGGGGGAACTGTGGGTCCTGGAGGGGTTAAATGGGGTGGGTTGGTTTTGGGGGAGCAGTTGTGGGTCTGGGGGGAGCAGCTGTGGGTCCTGGAGGGGTTAAATGGGGTGGGTTGGTTTTGGGGGGCAGTTGTGGGTCTGGGGGGAGCAGTTGTGGGTCTGGGGGGAGCAGTTGTGGGGGGGGGTGAACTGTGGGTCCTGGAGGTGTTAAATGGGGTGGGTTGGTTTTGGGGGAGCAGTTGTGGGTCTGGGGGGGGCAGTTGTGGGTCCTGGAGGGGTTAAATGGGGTGGGTTGGTTTTGGGGGGCAGTTGTGGGTCTGGGGGGATTAAATGGGTTGGGTTGGTTTTGGGGGGCAGTTGTGGGTCTGGGGGGAGGAACTGTGGGTCCTGGAGGGGTTAAATGGGGTGGGTTGGTTTTGGGGAGCAGTTGTGGGTCTGGGGGGAGCAGTTGTGGGTCTGGGGGGGCAGTTGGGGAGCAGTTGTGGGTCTGGGGGGGAACTGTGGGTCCCAGAGGGGTTAAATGGGGTGGGTTGGTTTTGGGGGGCAGTTGTGGGTCTGGGGGGTGAACTGTGGGTCCTGGAGGGGTTAAATGGGGTGGGTTGGTTTTGGGGAGCAGTTGTGGGTCTGGGGGGAGCAGTTGTGGGTCTGGGGGGGGCAGTTGTGGGTCTGGGGGGAGCAGTTGTGGGTCTGGGGGGGAACTGTGGGTCCCAGAGGGGTTAAATGGGGTGGGTTGGTTTTGGGGGGCAGTTGTGGGTCTGGGGGGGGAACTGTGGGTCCCAGAGGGGTTAAATGGGGTGGGTTGGTTTTGGGGGAGCAGTTGTGGGTCTGGGGGGAGCAGTTGTGGGTCTGGGGGGGGGAACTGTGGGTCCTGGATGGGTTAAATGGGTTGGGTTGGTTTTGGGGGGCAGTTGTGGGTCTGGGGGGGAACTGTGGGTCCTGGAGGGGTTAAATGGGGTGGGTTGGTTTTGGGGGGCAGTTGTGGGTCCCAGAGGGGTTAAATGGGGTGGGTTGGTTTTGGGGGGCAGTTGTGGGTC